AAAGGGAGGGGGGGGGTAGCTTCCGAAGCCACCCCCCTTTCAAAGGGGGGAGGTGGCTCACCCCGGCTCAATTAAAGGGAGGGAGGGGGGGGTAGCTTGGAAGCCCCCCCCCCTTTCCCGACCACGAAAAGGGGGGGAGGGGGGAGGGGGCTTCCGAAGCCCCCCCCCCCTTTAGCAAGGAAGGGGGAGGGAGGTAGCTTCAAGCTGAGGCCCCCCTTTTACTCTATCGGGCCCCACGCGCGCGCTCTATCGTATATACACACATACACATGCGTGCATACGTTAAGTTCACACTAGAAACACGCGCGCGCGATTCGCGCGGGCATTTAGGTTGTATGTTGCCCAATGTGCATGGGTCATTAACGTCGGGAGCTTTTGGACGAGATATACTTAGCATGTGTCTGAGCGTGTAGAACATCATAGCTACGGCCCGGGGTGGAGATCAAAATTGGGAATTGGAAATGGTAAGCAAGACGGTGAGATACGAGCATGGAGGTGGCACGTGTTGGGGGTCCCAAAACCGTATGGTGACAAACCGCGCGATGACCTCGGAATCCCAAAAGACCTCACCGCGCGGTCCGTCACCGCACGGCTTTGGGACCCTGCAGGCCCCAATCGCTCGAGACGTGCTCGGAGAGCGGCTCGAATCCCAAAAGCGCGTGGCCCCACATCACCACTGGCTCACCACACGGTGCGGTCACCTCACGATTTGAGGCCCCCCGAATGTTCCCCGTCGTGGTTTTCGGGTCATAACTCGGGCCTGCGGCGGCCGTTCGGGACGACTCGGGCACCCCCCAAATGTCTCCCTGAGGCTGCCCACTGGCTCACCACACGGTGTGGTCACCACACCGTGCGTGGGGGACCCCGAGCATGGCAGGCGCTGAGTGGTGACATCCGAACCCTACCCCCACCATCCATCCATTCTCATGAATCGATGGGAGGCGGGGCGCCTGGGGAGCTTGTGATAGTAACACGCCAGCACCGGCACTCGCCCGTGGCGCCAAGCCAGGCCCAAGAGCCCCAGATGGCTTCCTAGAGTCGCCCAAGGGCTTCCCCTGGAGACTTCCCAACAGGCTCCGAATAGCGTCCCCGAGAAGCCCCACGCGTTCGACGAATTCCGTACTCCAGATTTCGTAATAAAGGGAGGGGGGTCTCATTTCGGGGGGGTCTCTTCCAGGCTATCTTGGAGGGCCTGGGGGGGTCTGGGGACGATGTTTCGGAGGGTTCTCCCACGGGGGAGGTCTGAAATGGCGTGTCTTGGAGGGTCCAGACCCCCTCCCTTTAATTACGAAATCTGGAGTAGCCTTCCCCCACCGCCCGTCGAGCTGCTGAATCGCTGATCGGCGAGGCTGGAGCTCGGCTCTCGCCGCCGATCCGCCACAGAAAAATACACACGGAGGCATCCCCCCGTGGACTGCTCCTCGGCCTCGGGGGGGGGCGGTGCGTGAAGCACCACTGGGAGCCAGCGATGCGGTACACCGCCACCCTCTCTGAGTAGAGGCCTCCCAACCCCAACTGGGGTCCCAGCAGATGGGGTCGGAGGGACGCGCCGCATGGCTGATGCATCGGCGATGCATCGCCGACGTCGGCGATACATCGCCGACGTCGGCGTGGAGAAAATCGGTTTCCACATCGAGCCGCATCGTCGATGCATCGTGATCCTCCGATCCCATCTACTCGGACCCCATCTTTGGAGGCTTGGAAGTAGGCACCAACACCAACACGTGGGGGTTGCCTCCACTGAGGGAAGATGACCCTAGATTCGGGTGTTGGTGGTAACGTTTCGGCCACCTAGGAAGCGCGAAAATTGACACCATCACCGAGATCGGGATCATCTTCCCTCGGTGGAGGCACACCGCCGATATTGGTGCTGGTGCCCACCTCTAGGCCTCCGACATCTAGGAGGCCTAGACTAGACTGAAGGCACACGGGAAACTCCCGCTGCGTGGCCGATGAGTACGACTCGAGTTCAGTCGGGCCCGTCCTCCTACAGGCGGATGCTGGACGAAAGATTAAGAATACCCCAAAAATACTCCAGAATAATCCGAAATAGTCAAAAGAAATCGTCCCCTGGCTACACTCCAAAATAATCAAAAATAGACAAAAGAGATCGCCCCCTGACTATTTTTGTTGTTACTATTCTTGAACGTTCCTCCTGTAGAGCGACAGGCCCGACGTACAACTCGAGGCCTGGGGCCGCAGGCCCAGCGGCAGGCTCGGCGGGCCTTCTTGCCCACCTCCTGCAACTTGGTGACGTCCTGGCGCGGGGGCCCCCCCCCGGCCATCGGGCCCCCGAGCCCTCTCCTCGGCCGCAGGCCTCCTCAGCGGACTCCTGCTGGGCCTGTCTTCCGCCACCACCGCCACCAGAAGTGGGAGGGGAGGGGGTCCTCCTCCTCATCCTCCTCCTCCTCCTCCACCACCTCCTCCTCCTCCTCCTCCTCCTCCTCCTCCTCCTCCTCCTCCCCCCTCCAACTTATGGTGGTGGTGGTGGTGGTGGTGG